AAGTTTATCAGTTAAACAGATAGACAGGCAAACAGATAGATAGGTACAGAGCGAGATGGGGAGAGAGAGGGAACGAACGAGAGAGAAAGAGAGAGATAGAGAGACAGAGAGAGAGAGAGAGAGAGATAGAGAGAGAGGGGGAAAGAGAGAGGGAGAGAGAGAGAGAGATTCAGAGCCTCAATCACCTTTCGGTCCATCAGTGGGCTCGCTCTGCCATCAATGCGTCACAACAACTCACCTTTCCTATTGGCTCCCTATCCTGGGAACTTCCGCCACCGCCTTGTGCGGTACTACTGGTATAACATCTTTATGCAACGTTAAATATTTGATGTTTCAACAAACTTAAGGCGTTTTCTTTGTTGGTGAAAATTACGGCCATAGCCATCCCCCTGGCTGCAGGCCATCGAAAACATGCGGGAGACCCTTACCTCAGAGACAGGGAAGCAGCTTGGCGAAACGCACTTGGCACTTTCATTTCCTCCGGTGGTTAATAGCTACTGTTTGTAGTTATATCATGTCAATGGCTAATAATACGTACTACTTAATGTCTATTGGGTCAGGTAGTGTTACAAGTTAATACTAGTGAATTTGGTCAATAATGATTGACTATCCAGTGATTAGAAGGTCCGTAGCCATTTTGGCTCAAGAGCCGTGATTGCGCAACCCTCCCAGAGGTCGGCAGGCACAACAGGTAGTTGAGCTTTCTCCTAGTTTTGCCATGACGCTTCGTGCTGATACAAGATACATACCCTTAGCATCCAAACCCTTAAAATTTGTCGGGTATGAAGTGAAACCCTCGGTTTACCCGTGATCATACTAAAAACCCTAGGTTCATGCCCAAAACCCTGGGTTTCCCAGGAAACCCTTCGAATCCAGGCCATGCTGCCACCGGATCTTGGCTTGACGCAGCTCTGATGGGGTGGAGCAGAGCTTTAGATATTTTTAAGATCAATAATGATCAATATACAAGATCTATGTTGGCTTTCCTTTCACTTTGGGATGGCACTGTAGCACTGCGTGCCCTGGTCTCATTTGATGGACAAAGCCGCAGGTGTATCACCTACCAGTACATCGGAAAGTAGAAGGGCCCTAGAAGGGCCCTGCAGCCTCGAACAGTTTGTCTTGCAGAGCTTTTGTCTCCCACTGACTCTTCAGAGATGCGACCTTCAGAGATGCGAACAGCAAACTATGATGACTCAGGCAGTCAGCACAAACATGTAGTAGCCAGCGCAGTTTGCAATGCAAGACTTGTCGGAGACCGTTGGCTTTCAGGTTGATTGAACATGCCATGTTCAGTTTTTCTACTACGGGTGACCCTGTTGATCTGCAAGTTGACTGGATCGTGACAGGGCTTCGTTTGTTACAACCAACAGCCTGGCCAGTCCCACAGCAGCCACACGCAAGGGATACTATGACCAACCGTGTTGTCAAGCAAAGTGGAAAAACCACTTCTGCATTCTGCAGATGAGCCTTCTGCTACTGTGCGGCTTTCAGGTTGGGTAACGATTCATTCTGAGAGACCTCGCAGATGTTAGCTGCTGTGGAATGAAAGGAGAGGTGATCACGACCATCAGCTCCACAGGTCGATATGGCATTCGATTAGAGAGTGGCCGATGTGTTTCCATTCGGCCACGAAACTTGAAGAAGATGTGCGGAGACACATGTCGAGCTTTCTGCTCATGGCCCAGCTGCCGGTGACTCATCAAACTCTGATCCAGGAATGTTTGCAAATTTGAATCGTGGGGATTGGGGACGTGCTGAAGGCCCAGCAGCAGCCTAAGAAGTTGCTGCCGCAGCAAGCGCCTTTCAAGTTCCAATCTGGCACGCGGCGCAGCCAGGCAAATTTCATACTGATTCTTTTTCGAATGTCACAGACTTTTAGGTATCTATGCTTGGTTTGTCACCTGCCATTACCTTGAACCTATTGATTGATCGCTGCATACCGGGCTTTTCTCACATGCCCATCATGGCTCAGCGGCTTCGGCGATTCCTGTTCATTGAGACAGCATTGCAAGATTAGTTCGAGGGGCTTCTGGTCACGGTCACCGGTTGTTCTTTTCTTGATGCAACGCCCAGTGCGTTTCAATGAGCACACAGGCCATGCTAATTTGCAATTCAACATTGGTGTTGGCAGCACGGCAACTGACTGTTTGCATCCCCAAGTTTCACTTGGGACTAAGTGCAAAAGACGCAAAAAAAACAGTGGTTACAAGGGAACTAAGGAGCCAAGGGCATCCATATTCGGTACGAAATGAGGGGCTGAGAAACTACTTAGAGCTTCCAGGTTAGAAAATAAGGAACATGATAACTCTCAACCTTGGGGCTGCCCTAACGTCAGACAAACCCAAACTTATTGGTTCATCAACAATAAATGGGAATTTACAAACAAATGAAACTACCCTTTGGTAATCAAACATGGTTTGGTGAATTTTTCCAATTTACGCAAACTTTGATCGGGGGCCTAGCTAGTAGCCATGTTTTATTGGGGTAACATCGGAATTTCTTAACCACCAAAACGGAGAATAAACCACCAGAAACGGGGATTGCATGATTGATTGATTGATTTCACCGAAAACAACTCTTGCATCTAACCAACGGGAACTGTTACTTAGCAGAAACTAGTGTTCCTTCGCCAAAATCATCCAAATTTAAAAATATTTCACCGGCAAGAACTGAAAGACTTCAGCAACAAATACTGATGACTGAAACACAGAGAATCTTTGTGACCATGTGTTGCAACACAGTTTGAAACGAGGGGTTGGTGTGTATTTTTCAACGACCTGTTCCAGGCTTTTGGAGCACATGGGACGTGTCCAAGATGATGTGAAATCCGTCGAGGCGGCCCCTGCTGCCCTTGCTGGTGATGTGGAAACCACTGGTTTCCCTGGGAAACTGATCTACAAATAGTGGGTTTTCCATGGGTTTTCCACATCTATCTTAGTTCACCTTAGGGTGCCTGGTTTCATTATGTTTCATTTGGAATCATTAGTGATGATTATGGCCTACTGTAGAAAACAAGGCACCCGAGTTTTGGCAACTGCTTGCATTGAAAACGAATTTGACCCTTCCTTGATGGTTTCAAAGTTGTTGGATGTGTCAAGATCTACTAATTATAAAAAAAAATATATATATATATTAAAAAATTGACTTGTTCTTCTGGGATCATCCATCACTTTTATTTATTTGGTCCTCGGGATGGTCGCGACTGTGGATCTGATGGCCTTGGACTTTCATCTTGGACGGCTTGTGAACCAAAAAAATCTCCCCCAATTGGCTGTTGGCTGATGGGACCAGTCGACCCCTTTGAGTGGCATGGAAAAACCATGGAAAACCATGGAAAACCATGGAAAACCATGGAAAAACCATGGAAAACCATGAAAAACCCATGGATTTCCCATAGATTTCCTCAACCAAACTAACCAAAGCCCCCATCCTGGATGCACCATCCCGTGGAGCAGAGGCCGAAACCCTGCGTCGCTGCGAAGATATGGCGGAGGCGCAAAGCGAGGCAAAGATGGAGATGGATAACATGTTCGGCAGCTGGGCGCACAAAAAGCGCGCGGATAGATATACTATTAATACTATGGAAACATCACGTGGGTAGTTGGAATAATGTTAATGATGAATAACTAGGAAACACATATTGTAAAAGTGATGAGCAGTGAGAATGATGCTGGAATTGAATACTTAATTGAATTATATACTGTAAAACATAATTATTTGGTATTGTGTCAATAAATCACGATTGAAAAAATCTTAGATCTTAAGGGAATATTTGAACTTATATAATGGAACATAAAGGTTTCCCAACATCAGAATTGTTGCTTATTAGAGGTCTTATGTTTTCATTGTGTTTCATCTTGCAAATCAGATGGTGTCATAGTTTCTAATTAATACATTCCAAACAATGTAGTTTATAGTACATTGTATGCCAATGTATGACATGTAATTAAATACAACATCAATATACCCTAGGCTAAGTTACCAAAACAAATGTGGGGTTTAACCTATGGTTCCTTTATTTATGGTTCAATGATCTACATTCATGGTGGGTAAACTCATCGCCAAGGTACCTTCCAAGCAAATCTGGGGGAACTCGGCGCCAAGATTGAGGCAGGTGAAGTCGGTGGCCCATCGGCCATTAGAAGTCTTCATAGTGTGGTATAGTGTGGTAAACCCCATCATGAACCTACTATGACTAGAGATAATCTATACCACCCATCTATGGTAATTTTGTATATACACTTCTAACTGAAACTGCATTTCCAAGTAAAAGGTAGCTATGAATCGGATGAAACTGAGTCGAAAACGCGCGCCACTTGCGATTCCTCGGTTCATGGGGTCCCTCAAAGCCTGTGATTGCCCCATTGAATACCAAGAACTTGGAGGATTTAGGGGGGTCTCCCATTTTTTTCATCATAATTTCATTCCATTTCACTGTACCAATGGTCAGTGTCAACATTTCGCAACCATCCCAACATGTTCCAACTCAGCAGGATGTGGCCATATCCCAGTCCAAGATCCATACCGAGCTGAAGGAGGGGCCTGGGTCTGGCTGGCCATGGCCTGAAAACCCATAGAAGCACTATGAAGGACTCATCTTAGGCAAGGATTCACAAACTCTCAAGGTCACTTCAAGGATTAGCAAACATGTTGTTTTTTTGCCTGTTTCTGTGGTACTCTGGAAACAGCCTCCACTCGTGGTTGCTTGATGTTGCTTGGAGAATATTGCCAGTACAAAGGATTTGGCACAGCGGGTCAACAAGAGTTCCTATGAAGCAACCAGTGAAAAAACTCCTTGCCATGCTTGGAGCCAGACTTACACCATGAAAGAACTTTCCTTATCTTTCCTTGTTCATTCATTTTATTTTCCACATACTGTATCATATAATAATATATATATATACATATATATATGTACATACATATATATATATTACATAATTTATACATTTCATTTTCTTGACAGCTTCACTTTTGCAGCCATCCCCCTCTCACAGTTCATACGTGAGACGCGGTAGTGCCGGCCGGTTTCTCCTGATACCGCGGGGATGGAACAGGCCGGCGGTGGTACATTGTGACCATTGTGACACATGGATCGTGTAAAGATACCCTCTGGTAAACTAACATAGCTATTGAAAATGGCCATTTATAGTGGATTTACCCATTAAGAATGGTGATTTTCCATAGCTATGTGAATTTACCAGAGGGTACAACCAAGTTATTTAAGCTAATGGAGAGTAGTATTCGAGACATCTAAAATTGATGACTTGGAGCTATATACCAAATATTGACAGTGGCCCATATAGGAATATAGGATCATGTGGACATATGTTATGATATACTTGAAAACATTTATACAGATGATACTAGTTTGCTAGTTGACTGGTGGTTGCCTTGGTTCTAAAGTTTAGAAACGCGCCAGCGCGTTTCTTACAGGGGCATCATTCTTCCATATTCTTCCGATCTGACGGATTTGGATGGCCATGGGAATTCTACAGGACTTCCCCGGAAGATTGGGGTGTACATATCCTATGGTTTCCGTAAAAATGTTACTAAACATCAATCCATTACTGTAACCATCAAATATCCACATCAAATAGTTGGATGCAAAATATCCATATCATGTTTTCCGTACATGTTCACTTTTGGCACCTTACAGCAATTATAGTGAGGTTTCTTCAATCCACCTTCCCTTTGCCTTTAATGGGACATCATATTTTTTTGTGATGGATGATATCAGACATTATGATCTGACCATTCTGTGGCACCAGGTGGGTTTGGAGGTGGAGACCATTAAGATTTCAAAGGATGCGATGCCAGAAGACAAGGCTCCGGAGTGCCCGGCTGCCCCTTTCGAAGGTTGATGGAGGGGACAGACAAGCGATAAATGCTGATAAATGATGATACATGATATTACTAAACCGGCCCCTGTATAATTTTTTCGCCAGAGGCTAATGGTGCCGGAATGACGCATGAGGTACCTGGGTTTGTCCACAAATTCGGCTTTGGACCCTGAAATCCATCGTGAAAAATGAAGGTACACTGACAGATGTAGAACAAGCATTTTTCAAAGATCCTTTGGAACAGTCTTGTCTGAGATTTAGGCCTGAAAGACAGACCTGGTATATCCCCAAATGCTCTACGATGCTGGAATATTTGCAAACAGATCCTGCCAAATGTTGGGATAGACAGCATTTGTTCGTGTTGATCCTATTCAACATGTGTTTCCATCGCCAAGGATATCGATGTATGGTGATTATATGAGCTCTGGAGCTATTTCATTTTAAAATAACGAATAGCTCTATACCTTCTTAACAGCTATTTATTTCTATTCTATTATCTCTATTCCAATAGCTCTATACCTTCCAGAATCCTTCTAGTAGAACATAGATATATGGAAAATCCACGGCAAGCATGGGCAGGTTGAGAGCGACGCCACGACGGATGAGGGCAAACAGTCTCCAGAGCAGGCACAGTTTCGACGTATCTGTTCACATCCAACATAGAAGGACGAGCTGGGGAGGGTCCCCTCCAAGTCTCAGTACCCCCTGGTAAACTAACATAGCTATTGAAAATCACCATTTTTAATGGGTAAATTGACTATAGGCCATTTTCAATAATTAGCTATGCTTGTTTACCAGAGGGTAATCATTATTTTTCAATCGTAAAGCGGGAATGAATTGTCATTGGGATCGGAGGAAGAGGTGCTTCTGGGACTGTCCACTTGGAAGATGACGCCACCGAAATGAAAACCATATGTTATATTCAGGGTTTAACTAAAGTGTGCTTTTTTTTTGATTGTATATTTTAAACCAGTGTAGGGGGAGCGGTTTGGTTTATGGGAATGTGATGCAAAGATGTGCAAAGCATATTTGACGGTGGTTGTGTTAGATTGTAGTCATTTTAAAGGGATGGCAGGGTCTTAACGGAGCTCGTTGGTAGCAATGTCCGGGAATGCAGATGAATACCCCGTCATCACCTTTTTCGACGTATTCATATTGTTAGAAACTCAAAAAGGAACTACCTTAGGCGCTGCTAGGAAAACCCAAGTCAAGTTCCCGGAAAGACGGACTGCCGAATCCATTGCTTTTTTTTGTGTGTGTTATCAGACAAACCCCTTCTGAAATGTTGTGAATCATCCCTTCACACTATGATTCACGGCCTTTTTTTGATGAGACTCCCCAGCTGACACATTCATGACTATATAAACCAGGGGTGTCTATTGTTTTGTTGTAGGGAGAAAGGATTAATAAATTAAATCTATTGGGTATGATAATTATGGGCCATGGTATGGGTCATATTTATTCATTAAGACATGGACTTACCGACAATTGAGCAACTCTTCAGTAGAAGAACAGTTCCTTTAGGATTCTAATATATTGACAGATTTTGTAGCTACGTGAATGCTTGTAGCAGTAGATGCAACTTTTGGGTAGGTCCCACTTCCCACTGGCATTTTCAAGAAATTACATGTACCGTCATGTACCTACCATGGAGGTGCTATGCCATATAAGGCCATATTAATTGGGATGACATTCGTATCCGAGCATACCCTTACATGATCTTGCATGGACTTTACATGGACCTCACACCTGGCTACCCAGTTGGATTTGTCTGAAAATAAACTACCCCAAATTTGATGGTAATCATCACTCCCCATTAACATGGCTTCGGGGGTACCCTCCATCATCCTCCATCTGGGTCGACTTCAGCTGGATTTTCCCGCGACCTCCTGTCAGGGGAAACTGGTGTTTGCGACCGGTGAGCGCGGTCTTCCGTCCTTGAATCGTGGCTACCGAACCCCTGACCCATCGCTGAGCCGTCTTCCGAAGTGCCCCTTGGCGACCGAACGCTGCGTGATGGGTTAAGTCATTATAGCAACCCCTAAAAGATAAAAAAGTAAAATCCTACTAAAATAGTAGTAACACGTAGATACATGCAGTGTATATACATATATATACACATTACTTTTCTATCTCTTTTTAGGGTCACTATAAACTTCAGATTCATAGGGTTTGATTTCTGAGCACTGCAGAGAGGTCTGCCGGGATGCCTTCATCAGAGATGCATGGCCAGCGCTCTTAGGTTGGTCAATCTCCCATGAATTTTACCCTCTGGATTTTTAACGTAGCTATTGAAAATGGCCATTTATAGTGAGTTTTCCCATTAAAAATGGTGATTTTCCATAGTTATGTTAAATTACCAGAGGGTAGATGCCCAAAAGTTGGAAACCTTGGAATTTTGAGGTAAATATCATCATTTGGAAATTATCGTCGGAAATATATAGATGATTTTATAATATTTTATAGAACTATCAATGATGAACATCAATATCCTGGAAACGCAAATTTCGGTGTCCCAAATTGGGAACCGTGGAACCCTCGAAAAAGGCGTCACAACGGTCGCGCCCTCCCAATTCATGGCCGACCGTTTGAGGTAGGTCATTGATGTTTTCTCCAGATAGACTTATGATTTTGAATACCACCGTCACATCCGAAGTTCTAGGTGGAACCCTAAAATGGAGATGTTCAGTAACTCATTTTCCAATCCTATTTGTGTTGGGTTTTCTGGTGTAATTCAGTTTTCAGAGGGTCTGGATTGGATGGGAACTTCCGCCAGAGACGGCGACCAATGATAAGAATGAAAGTTGGGTAAATGATAGTGATGGTTGGTCATCATCCCCACATACATGCTCCATATATATGGTTTTGTCATGGTCTGTCTGAATATGTTGGGGAAGACTCCATGGCATTCGATTGTCTTTCCCATGTTTTTCCCATCATTTTCCCGGGCCACAACATCCGGGGGTATCCTTCAGCGATTCTCAGGTGGAGCACTAGAACTCATGGTTGCTGTTCCTTGGCAGATTTGGTTTACACAGAACTCTCACTAGAAACGTGCCCCTTCTAAGATGATTTAAACGTTCGGATAATTTGCAGGAACTTCACTACAACCAACCCGTTCATGGTTATTGCTCAAAATTATTCACCCCCGACATTACTTCATGGTGAAAATTTTGCCCTTGTGTTGGTCAAATCCTGATTTGTAGTTGCGCAAGTCCCTAGGAGAGAATGCGTTCACAGATTCTCGCAGATGTTCAATCCCCATGATCATTCATAGACTAAGCCTGAAGCTTTTTATTAGACAATTTCCCCTTAATTGACCAATCAAGGGAAATTGACCAGTAAAAAGGGGAAATTGATTGACCCTTAACCAAAAGCCTTATTTTTCCCTTATTATATTGACTTAAGGAATTCAATTTCCTCTTATTTCTATGCGTTAAATTCCCGTGTCGTTGTTGATGGGTTGTTCATCTCCCGGACTTGGATTCATCATGGGACTTGCCGACTTGCGAACTTGAAACCAGTGGGCTGTGGTCGCAGGGTTGAAACCAATAGATTTGTGGATTAATAAATGTTAATAACCATGGACAATTTACGGGAAGCACCTTTTTGAAAGACATTTATAACTTATAACTGTAAGACAACTGTAGATTTTGACTTGAATCAATCCATTGAACGTCCGGGACTTTCTTGGGGCATGGCTTGCGAGGCTGAGAACGGCCTCGCTGACGCCGAGTTCCCCCGGGGCTATGACGTGCTTTGGCCAACCAATCATCACAAAAAGACCTGCAAGGTCGTGCTCCCTTTTTTCTTTGTTGGTCTATAAACCTCATGGACTATAGATATGATATATATATATAATTATATACACACATAATTATATATTAACATATAATTATATATACACGTGTATTATTTATGTATATATATATAATATCGCATAATCTCGCATATATATATATATATATGTATATTACCATAATACTGGTAGTCAAGCTGGTGAGAAAAGCCAAGTTAGCTATCTACGGGGCCCACCGTGGAGAAAATTGAAATGCCTCTCGATGATCCCTTTTCCCTTGTCCTCGATCACGAAAGTTTGCGAAAAGACTGGTGCAATGCCTTCTTTTCTTGGCGAAAACACGTTTTTTCCTGCTAACCCCAAAAAAAGAATGAAACAGATAGAACACGATGTATGACTACTTATATAAGTATGATATATGTTCTATCTTTTTAGGGGTTGCTATAACCTGCCAAATTGTGAACACCGGAAGCGTCACCCACTTCCGAGACGCCGCGTTGCGTTGAGACAAAGCCCTGGAACACAGCCACTCGGTTCCCTCGAATTCACCTGGGGAAATGGTGGTTCTTTGGGGATTTGATGGTGTGTCAATGGGGAAACCACATACATATATATATATATATATGAATCATTATTAATCCATTTTGTGGGAATAAAATTGGATATATAATGATATATATATATATATATTTGATATACATTGAAATACAGTAATCGACTGTATATTGCATGATGTTTGGGTGTGTCTAAAAATTGGGATATACTACCATCTAGTACCCCAACATTGCCATCATGAGAGGGAAAATCATCAAATGCAAAAAAGGGGGCTCTCTCTATTTTGAGACAAATCCAACATTATGGCTGATTGGTGGTTTGGAACATTAATTTTATGATTTTCCATAATAGCTGGGAATTTCATCATCCCAATTGACGAACTCCATCATTTTTCAGAGGGGTAGGTTGAAACCACCAACCAGATGGGGAGATGGCGATTTTCCCGGGGATTTCGCGGTGATGATTTGATTGTTTTCCTACTAGTTGGTGGATAGGAATTCCATAAAATTTCCGCCATAGTGGATTGTGACAATCCCCAAATATCCCCAATGTATATATTGGAGAGTATAACCCTATCATAATTAATCAAGAGGTGTTTTGATAAATGATCAAATAGGAACTGGAAGACTACTTTCCTCTAAACATGGATGCTCAGCTCAGTGTCTGTGTCAGTTTGGGGGATGGTTGATTCAATTGCTAAGATCCTTTTTTTTCCGAGCGTCTCAAACCATCCAACCATGACATCTTCTGGTCCAATGATTTTGTGCCACGACTGCCAGATGCTACCGAAAGAAGGACATTTGGTAGGAACACCCATTGTTTGGAGGCAAAAACAGATGGTTGCCTGTTCATTTTTTCAAATCTGAAATGATTTCCAGAATATAGAAGACCCTCATGAATTAGTAGTATATAGTATGTTAAATTGCGATAACTACTAATTATTAACCACTAGTTGCACTATTATATAACTATGATTTACCCGTCTCCTTAATATAGGATGTGTCTTGTTTCAGACATCTCTACGGACGACACAGGCAAAAGAAGTGCGGACTCCGTCTCCTTGGCTGTCACGAATCCGTACCCCATCACCGCTTTTGCAAAGGCGCCATTGGGGACTGGTTTGTTTCAGATCTCCGGCGCCCTAAACATTCCAAGAAATCAAAAGGGACTATTTGTGGGGCCATGGAACAATGGTCCGGCAGGTCTATGGTGGATATACATATATATATATACACACTGTACAATTATATATATATGCATGTTTGACAACGTGTGATATATGTGTATTTGAGCCAAAGGTATATGTTCACCAGTGAGCAGGTTGCAAGGGATGAATGGCACGAAAACGCAGGGGAGAATCCAGGGCAAACCGACCCAGAATGGCATATTCCAGTAGAGTTTCTGGAGATTCTGGACATTTTTGGATTTTATCAGTACTATCCAGTCAGAGCCGTAAATCCCTGACATATGCTTATTGAGACCATAATATGTTCGTAATTTTTCTGGATTCATGTTTGGGAAAATTATATATTTTTGAGGAATACTGAAGTTGAATGGGAACTTAAAACAACAAAAATAGTAAAACCTAATGGCTTTGGGGTCTGAACATTGGTCCAGTGTTCCCCCAAAAATTCCTCTTTGCGCAGGGCCTACGATTTGTGCGGAGCCTCAGAGGCCGTAAGATAGTTACTTTCCCACCTCAAATTTCGAGGAGAATCCTGCACCCTTTTAATATATTTTAATTGTTTTATGAAATTGAACTTTTTGGGGATTACTATCTACCCTTAGTAAGATTACTAGACAGTGCTGACATGTCTTAGCTATTTTTGGGCGTAGGGTTGCTAGTTTCTACCTTTTTGGGGATTCCTGGACAGTAGTGGTCATATCCTTTGCCCACCTACCCCTCCTACTGGTCAATGTATCTACCAATATTATGATTACTTTCCTCATACTTGCACCCAACCCCCTACCCCCACCCCGCCAATCACAGCCACTACCACAGATCCATTGATAGATTTATGACAGACCTGCGCCTCTTCTTCTATTGGCTGCACCAATATGTTCCCAACTAATCTATTATCACAGTATAGGGCATCCAACTGTGTAATTGTAAATGCACAGGTTTGTGAAACCCCTACATGGGTATGGGTCAAAAGCCACAGATTCTGACTATGTTTGGTCTGAACCATCCTATTTTTGAGTACCACAAGTTTGACCAATACCTCCGGTATAAAATCATGTTTTAGGGGTCAATAGCATTCAACAACTATGTTTGATGGGTAAATCCATGTTTGGGGGGTTCAATCCAACCAAAATCCCACTGTTTGAGGGTGACAGTACTCCTTAAAAAATCCCTATCTTTGGTAAAATCATGTAATTTCATGTAAATTCCACATGTTTTGGGTTCAATCATTGAAATCATGTCCAATCCCTATTTTTCTTTGGCTCAGCTCCCCATTATTTGGCTGACTAAAACTCCCTTGAGGCCACCACCATTGGCGTTTTCTCCGCTTCTTCCCGGCTCCAGGGTCCCCAGGGTCGGGGATCATCTGGGGGATGGGATCATAAAACCCTGCTTGGAAGGATCCTAATTGACTGAAAAATAGTTCAGATGCGTTGAAACATATTGAAAACAATTTGGATGATGGTCAATTTTTTTGGGGGGACGGGTCATTGCCTGATGCAGGTTTGGACTTTCATCGGATTTCATCGGATTTCATTCAGAATTAGCCTATGCAAATGGTGATTAAATTGGTGTTTAACTTGTATCAGAACAGTCTCAGAGGTGGTGCTTCCAAAAAGAATGCACAAAACAAAAGAAAAACAAAAAAAACAACGAAACAAATAAAAAACAAATCAGAAGAACATAACAAAACAACAAAACCAATGCAACTGGAAAACAAAGACTCAACAAAAGAGTCAGAGAGAAAAAACAAAAACAACGCAAATTGGCTTCCAATGCTGATTTTGAAGGACACACTTGGAACATCTGCTGAACAAATGAAAAACCGAGAAACCATGCAATTTTGAGTCCGGAATTGAGTCTTCGGTCGAGTCTGGACTTGTTTCTTTTAATCGTCTAGGAAAAAAACACAAATGTAAAGAAACAACTGAGGAAAAAACACAAAATAAACACGCAATAGTCAATAGTCAAATTAAAAACAAAACAAAAGAAAACTTGGCTGTGAAATGCCGATTTTGAAGGAAAAACATGGGAAATCTGCGGAACGTTGCAAAACACAAGGGAAACAATGCATAATTGAGTCCGGAATTGAGTCTTCTGTTGAGTCTTCGGGTGGATCTGTGTTTTCTATTTTTCAATTCTGTTGTTTTTTTTCTGTTGTGTTTTCCGTTTTTTTTTTTCTGAGTCTTCTGTTGAGTCTCTGTTTTCCATTTTTTTTTTGAGTGTGTTTTTGTTTCTTTGATTTGTTTTTCTTTTTTTGTTGCTTTTCATTTGTTTCCTTGATTTTGGACCTCTCGGAGGAATTCATTTTCATAACTCAAACAAAACTATTTTGACAGCAAGAACTGGGTCTTAGCCTTTAAAGCTGGTTAATTGATGATCTTTGGTTGATTTAAAGCCCCAATTTAAATTGGATCAACCCCAGTTGGTCGGATCCCATCAATGGGGGCACATCAAGAACATGGTGTTTTTACCAGCAGACATAAGAGTTTGACTTCATGGATGATCATGGAAGTTAGGATTGATGCTTTATCATTGGGCATGACATCTCATGAAATACCACTGGTGTTTGCTTATTGACCATTTACGATTTGTGTTTCTAAATTTTTCTAACTATAGTATCTCAAAGCCGTGTCAAATGGTTGTTGTCCTCACATAGAACGGCGTTACGACCATGTCAGCTTTTCCTCAATGGATTGGTGGATTCTTCCCCCATAGGAAGAAGCATTCTGAATGGTAAGAAAAGTGTGATCCCTCCCACAATAAGGGGCTCTAACAGCTATAATTTGAGGTCATAACTAAAGGTATCATTGCAGGATTACAGCTCAATACCGCTTATTTCAGGAGGTTACAATGAGTTTCATAAGTGGATGTTTGGGCTATAGCTACCCCCCGATTGGTTATCTGATTTGGTTACAATCGTTATCCCATTCTGGTATGGTCCACATCAATCGCAGGTAACTACACCATACATAGAGATCAACATACGTAGAGCACATGGGAGTTTACTGTAATCCCAATTGAGCAAGTTTCAAAAACTCAGGCGATGGTTGATGTTTTTTTAAAGAAAAACGCATTTTTCGAGGTTTATAGTACCCTTGATATATTGAGGGTAATCATAGTCCATGAAGTGGAAGTCTCCATGATTCACAAGGAGATTCGCCCCAGTCTTTCTGGATTCTTGGGATGATCCCACGGCAAAATATCATATGCATCCATTGAAAGCCATGATTTTTTGGTGATTTTCCAAGTCGGTTTTTGTGCCACTTCTCGATGAAAAAAAATCTCGCTGGAATTCTCCAGTCCAGTCAAAGGTTCGAGCTAAGTCGCCATGGTCCACATCTTCCTCTGCAGGTGTGGAAAAAAGTGGCGGTGGGAAACCAAATCATAGTTAGTATTATTATGATTTATCATGTGTGTTTATAAATAGTTATATATATAGTTATATAAAGTTATAGAATTGAATAATCATTATACTATATCCCCATTGTTGATGACTCTAGGTTACCAAAATGCAATAAAATGGTACATATGGTACCAATATGTACCAATAATGGGATATAACATATAGTTGGTAATATATATATATATATTATAAAATGGGGATATAATGGGTATACCACCAATGTGACATATGGTTTATGGTCATCCATCCCTTTTTTATGTGGGAACCCCAATGCGGAAAAAAACTTACCGTGACTGCGGATGATTGGAATCCTACCCATTAAAATAGTGATGACTTGGGTATGGTTTATGAAGTTGGCTTTACCATGGTTTACCCTCTGGTAATTTAACATAGCTATTGAACATGGCCATTTATAGTGGATTTTCTCATTAATCATGGTGATTTTCCAGTTCGCTATGTTAAATTACCAGAGGGTACCATGGTAAAGCCATATTTGCGATGGTTTGGTTTCACCCACGTTAGATTGATTTGAAATACCATGGGCTAAGCATACAACAAACCATTGGGAAAACCAACGGTTTCCGTTCGGAACATGATCTACATTTCTGGTGGGTTAGATCAAAATCCATCGATAAACTTGTGATTCTCCATTGCCTGTGAAACTACTCAAGGGTAATTACCCTCTGGTAACTTAACAGAATGCTACATGAATTATGCCCCAAATGTCCGACAATTCATTGACAATGTGGACTGATGTGTCAGAGCATCAGAATACATGTCAGAAAGAATAAACGTCACATGAACTTTGCCAGAGCAAATGTCGGAACGATGTTGAAATACACATGTCAGGCGGTATGTCACATTAAATTTGCCAGATGATCAGATGATACATATGTTCCAATGTGTGTGACCCAAAATGTGCCAGAGCAAATGTCAGAACACATGTTGAATCGTATATTACATCAAGTTTTACTAGATCAGATGTCAAAACAAATGTCACCATATTCATCATTAAGCATGCCAGATCAAGCTCCAGACAATATGTCAGACTATATGTTGGAATACTTGTCCGTACATAAATATGTCACAATAACTGTCAGGATAAACGTAATAATAAATCTCATAGGTAATGTTAGAACATATGTCTGGATATGTATATATATATTTTTATATAGTGTATTTGGATACGTATGCTGGTTGTTTTGTCACATTAACAAACAATGACTGACCAATCCTTTTATTGGAGGATCTGAACAATTTCAT